CACACACACACACACACACACACACACAGAACCCAGATAGTTCCTATCCCTCTATACGTTCAAATCCTTGAATTATCGTAATTGCCTCAATTAAATCATCCCTCAGTCACTCCTGGAGGGATACAGGCCTAACCTGTCTGACCTATCCTCAAATTAAACTTTTCCAGCCTCTCTTCCATTCTGCTGATTCTGTGGTGCACAGCCTCCAAGACTAATATATCCTTCCTTGGGTGTAAATGTAATATCCAGTGGTGCCTGCTATTGTTTGCACAGGGGCGTTTGGGGACACTGATGATTGCACATTAGAATTGTCTTCAGCTTACATCTAGAGCAATGCCTAACCATATAAGCTAATGGCCATTAGTGCCACAGTCTATCATTTAGAACACTGTGCTCTCCATGCTGAGTTACTGTCCTCTGCTATCATGGGAGCCCAATTAAAATGCTTTTTATAAGCAATTATTGCTTTGCTAAGTTCTTTTCTTTGCTTGCCTGAAGTCACCCTTTTGGGAAAATTTCTGCAGCAATTATTTTCAGACATTTACTAAAATGTTAAAGTGACTGCATGGTTGAAAACCAATAAAACACAAATTCCTCTCTCTGCTGGAATTAATCCTTGGTTTCCAAATAGCCTTGGGATGAAAACAGCTTTCCTTGTTTACCAGAAATCTGAGGGAGATCTCCTGGCCAAGCAGACAGTGTAAAATTGTGCTGTTCTTGTAGTTTAGTTTACTTTCTAAATCAATGCTTTGGCTCCTGAACCAGGGTTACCTTTCAGCCTCTACTCTCTAGAGTTTAAGAAAGGGTAAAGTGCAACTCGCATTTATATAGCATCTTTTAGGACCAAAGAACTTTTGAAAATGTTTTACAGGCAATGAACTACTTTTGAATGTCATCATATTTCCAGTGTAGGAAATAACCATTTGTGCACAATAAGCTCCCACTAACAGCAATGCAATAGTGACTGGAAAAGCTATCTTTGTGATATTGATTGAAGGATAAATATTGGCCACGACGTCAGGTCTAACTCCCCTGCTCCTCTTGTCATATCATTACTTACACCTTCCGTTGCCACTGTTCCACTGTTCTCTGGTCTGAGTGTTGCAGGTCCTTACGGGCTCAGGTAGTAGAGGGGGTTCTTGGAGATGTTTCACCTGCTGTGTCCCTCCACAGTCACATGTGACAGAATTCATTTGGCAGTCTTAGGGCTTGCAGAGACTGACACCAGCCCTGAGGAGATTGAAACACAGCCATGTTGAGTGGCAGCTGCTGGTAGGGATCTTTCTGGGTCATTAGATACCTTTGTCTGACCATGTGTTGACCAACCGTGAAAGCAGCAGGTTTGGGAGTTTTAATCCAGATGCTCCTCGATGAAATTGTGTCACGGGCTGTTTTACATTGACCTGACATGGTGCCTCGGTTTAATTTCTCATCTGAAAAATAGCATCTCCAACAGTGCTGTGTACCCCCCACTGCTACACTGTAGTGTCAGCTCAGTTTCTGTGCTCTTACCCTGGAGTCGGAGTTGTACTCACAACCTTCTGTTTCATGAGTGAGTGTGTCACCATCTGAAACATGGCTGAAACCTGAAGGAGTAAACAGCATTGTTATACCTAGGCATTGGTTATGGACAGCTGAAAGCAGTATGTTATTGGATTCTGTAGGGACATTGAGGTTCCCATGGCCTAGCCCTCCTTGTGCTTCCTGTTTTTGTCTGGTTGTAAAAGAGTGTGGGGCATGCAACAGGAGCAGGGCGATCTGAGGGTCTAAATACTAATCTTTGAAAATGGCAGGTCAGGTTGATAAGGCTGTTCACTAAGGATTTGAAAGGATTTTTGGTTTTATCATTAGAGGCAGAGCACTATCCTGAACTTTCAGAATATGATGGTTTGGTCTCAGTGAGAGTATTGTGCCCTATTCTGGGCACATCCTGTTTGGAAAGACACAGAGGTCTTTGAAAAGGTGCCGAGGAGATTTACTAGAATGGCACCAGGGATGAGGGGGTTCAGTCATCAGGTGATACTGGAGAAGCTGAAATTGTTGTCCTCAAAAGGGAGAAGGTTTAGGGGAGATTTAACAAATGTATTAAATTCTGAAGCTTTTAAAGATGCTGGGAGACTGTGTCCATTGGCAGGCGGTCAGTGACCAGCTCTGTAGTAGCCATGTCTTTGTTTTGGCAAGTGGAATCCTTCCTCATTAGGGATAAAAACTGCTGTTGTTTCATCTTGAACTTTCTTTTGAATCCCTCCGCTGTCTCTTACCAATTGCCCAGTTTACTGGGAGCAGTCCCTGTCATGTCCATTTTTAAATTGGCCTTGCCTACATCTAGGATCTCAGTCAAGATTTCAGTTTTGCAACTCCCACTTTCAAACATAAGATTGAGCTCAATCATATTATGAACATTACTAGATAAATATCCCCATATCATCAGGCTGTTAACTAAATCTGCCTCAGTGTTGAATCTATTGAAGTTAGTTTTAGGAAACATTGGTGCAAAAAACTATCCTGAACTTCTTTAGACAAACCACTCCCATTCCACAAAGCTCCAATTCCAATTGGACCCAGCAAGGTGACACTAGGATTATCACTATCTTTGTAAAGGGGTAGGGTCCACTTAGCACCAAGCATCAATGTATTTAAGAATGATCACCATTCATCTCAGTCCTAACTGAGGAGCAACGGGTTACTTCAACAAATGGAGACACGTTTTATTTACTTTTTAAAATCTATAGTGCACAGTACATGACCTCCTGACATAGACACAGGACCTTCTGAAATATTGATGACCCACCAAGTATTTTATGTTGGTGCAGAGATCTCTTGAACTGGCCTGTGGGTTGTACCTTTGAGGTCATGTTTTCTTTCATCCCTGAACTGTTGCTATTTTAAGGGCTGTTGCTTTATATTGTATTTGATAAGGTGTGCTTCAGATTTGATGCTAATGTTGATTAAAGCAGATCTGTCTTTTTTTTTTTGGCAGCACATTTCAGATTCTGGATTTGAACATTTGGTCAAATATAAGGGCTGATTGGTACATTCACTCTGCTTACCTGCTTGCACTCCTGAATCCCTGATGTCCTTAACATGTTGAAATCCTATCGATCACAGCCTTGTGGAGGCTCCTCTGGTCTACAGCGTTTTGTGTGGGAAGATATTTCCTGATGCCCCTTATTCTAATATCTCCAGAGGAAATATTTCTCTCATTCTACACTGTTAAACATTTCTCGTATTTTAACTCCCTCGATTAAATTGCCCTTCAACATTTTATAAATAGAAGTACAAAATAGCAAATACAAACCGAGATATGCAAGCTGCCCTGTCACTTTTTGTTCTAAACCTTGGTACTGTTCCACCTATAGCCCCCCCTTGTTTCGCACAGTCTTCTGCTCACTGCTAATTGTAGTTTCTGTGTTGTTTTAGGTGTATATTCCCAGCAGGACTGCCATCGTTCTCGCGAGCATGGACATTAACAAATGAAGGCAGGAGAAGCTTGGCAGGCTGTCAGGTGTCTTGGTGCCAAAGAGGACGAATCAGAAAAGCTGTTTCACAACTAAACCCCCAACCTCCCCCAACCACCTCCAACTTCTAACCTCTAGTCATCAACAAGTGATGACCGGCTGTAACTTCAATTCATTTGTTTTATTGTAAATTGAGTACAAGTGTGACCCGCTTCTTGGCAATTGAGCTGGATGTCTTTCTCTCTCACTCACTTCGTCTGTATGTCAACTCTTTCAGATATTAGTTTACAGAGGCTGAAGGCTGTCTGCCCTCACTACTGCTTAACTGCATTGTGGCTAGAAAGGGAGAGAAACTCACTGATACCAACATAGGAACCATAAACTCTTGTACTGACCAAGCGCCCCAATGACATGGTATTAGTAGGTTCTTGAGGATTATGTTTGGCACTTCTTTGTGTTAATGGAAAATTTGTGCCACTCATGAGGTCAAACAAGAATGGCACAAAGTTCCTCCCTCACCCTCAGTTGAATCCTTCACCCCAATCCTACCCATTTTTTTCCCATTTCTCCTTCTGATTGGTGTGAAGATGTCGGGAACACGTCACTGTGTAGTGAAGCTTCTTCATCAGCCTCATGTACTCCGCAATCCCCCACACTTGCCCTCAACACACACACTCACCCACACCCACTGCCTGAGTCAGTTTTTGGAAGTAGAATTAAAACATTGATCCTGGCTGATGAGGAAGAGATTCTCCCTTCATAAAGTGTTTGCCTTTTTAATTCATAGAAACTGTTCGAATTATGGAGTGTTCTACTGTACAATAGTGGAGAACAAAATTCAAATTAAAAGTAACTGAATAAACTTTATCATTGTATAAGTTTAAAAATTAAAAACATGGAATAAATAGAATGAAATATTGCAGTGAAAGGCTGCTTAGATATCTGTGTTTGAACCAACTTCTCAATCTTTTATTAATCCTCTCATGCACACACGGGCAGAGACTGATCAACAGTACCCACGTTGCTCCGATATTAAGCACGCATCTTGCAGTAAATGGAAGCAATTCATTTCTTGGACTTTATTTTTCCCCAAGCATTTTTCCGGTTAAGGTTTTTATAAACAATTCATACTGGGTCACAAACTGTGTTTATTGACTTAAGGCGTCATACCACACTATCTCGCTCTTGGTGCTGATACCAAAGGAGCATCAGTACTGAGGGAGTGCTGCACTGTCGGAGGGTCAGTACTGAGGGAGTGCTGCACTGTCAGATGGTCAGTGCTGAGGGAGTGTCACAGGGTCGGTGCTGAGGGAGCACCGCACTGTCAGGGGGTCAACACTGAGGGAGCACTGCACTGTCTCAGGGTCAACACTGAGGGAGTGCTGCACTATCAGATGGTCAGTTCTGTGGATCAGTGAGTCCTGTTGGAAGGGACACTGCACTGTCGGAGGACGAGGACCTAATGGAAGTTTTTTTAATATTTATTCATAAAATGTGGCTTTCTCTGGCTAGGTCAGCTTTTATTACCCATCCTCAATTGATCAGCGGTCAGAAGACAGCAGATTTCCCTTCCTAAAGGCCATCAGTGAACCAGTTGGGTTTTTACAACAAATGACTGTGGTTACATGGTCACTGTTAGGCCAGCTTTTGTTTACTGTAGATATTTGTTGAATTCTAATTTCATCATCATGGTTTGATTCACATCCATGTTTGGGGTGATATCTGGGGATCTGAAAATTGTACATTATATCACCACTCCCAAAAGGGGAGGGTCATTACAAGGGAGCACTGCACTGTTCCAGGGCCCGACTTGAGTGTAGTCCCATCCTACCAGCGTTCTAGGCCAAAATCCCACACTCAACAACCAGCCCCAGTAATAGAATGACTAGCTGTAATGCTGTTTGAGATCTTTCAGCAGGTTTAGACCTAAATAGCAACAATGACTGTGAAAAGCCATGAGGTGGCCTCAGGACATGGCAATGCATTCAATTAATTAACATGAACATGTTACCAATGGCATTAAAATAATAACATACCAAAAAAATTAATTTAATAGATTAAATCTACTCGCCTGTTCATGAATTTAACAATCCTAATGATTAAAGAAATTGTGATTTGCAATTTGGTAATTGCCCATAGGTGTTCTTTATAACTAGAGATGAAACAGAACTGGAAGGTGCAGTCAAGGCACATCATTGTCTGAACCTGAAATTGCTGCTGTTTATTTTGATGTTCATGGTTCTTATTTTTCACATCTTGACTAATATCCTGAGTCTGACCGATGTTCAGGCAATGTTTCTGTGTTTTAATATTGGGCTTTACAGCAGAGAGGCCATTCCACTCAGCCTTGGAAATAGATCACTGTTCCCTCACTGTCTGCTATTGTTATGCCTCACTCAAACCCCCTGCTCCTTGCCTATCCCCAACCCTCCTTCACCTAAGTCTATTAACAAATTTTTCTCTTCTCTCTTTCCTTATCTTTGTCTCGTTGCCCTTTAAACATATCAATGCCATTTGGGGGCAAGTTCCACATTCACACTACTCTGTGTAATGTTCGTCCCATCCCATTGAAACCCTGAATTTAGATGTGCCTCCCAGTCCTTCATAGCTTTACTCTGGATTGTATAGTATCTACAAGATGCATTGATGAAATTTACCGAAGATCTTTAGACAGCACCTTCCAAACCCATGACCACTTCCATCGAGAAGAACAAGGCAGCAGATGGTGAGAACACCACCCTCCTGCAAGTTCCCTTTCAAGCTACTCATCAACCTGACTTGGAAATATATTGCTCTTCCCTCAGCCAAAATCATGGAATTCCATCCCTAAGGGCCTTGTGGGTCAACCTACAGCATATGGACTGCAGCGGTTCAAGAAGGCAGCTCACCCCCACCTTCTCAAGGGGACAACTAGGGATGAGTAACAAATGCTGGTCACCAGTGATGCCCACATCCTATTAATGAATCAAAACAAATTGCTGCAGGGTTAACCTGGACTGAGAGTTGTTGACGGAGGAAGTGGATGTGGTGCTAACCAAGCAGGGGCTGCTTTGTCCTGGATGGTGTCAAGCTTCTTGAGCGTTGTTTGAGCTGCATCCATCCAGACAAGTGGGGAGTATTCCATCACACTCCTGATTAATGACTATCATAAGTTTGTTATTTTGGGATGTAACCGCCCGTCTCTCAGAAGAATCATCACTTGTAAGCAATGCCGTCCACTTGCCTGTCCCAGCAGCACCATCGGAAGTTATGAAAACTACTGGAGCTGCAGCTGGACCTGAACAATGATCATCAACCAAACTGGCTGATCAGGTCAGTGCGGCGTTTAGCGAGGTCAGTCAAGATATGTCCTGGAAAAGTAACTGCGGTGAGAGGGGAGAGGTACCACAGGTAGTGTGTGAACAATAAGGGGGTGGGGAGTACTATTGGGTGTAGGGACCTTTAAAGAAAGAATTCCCTGATCCCCTTGCCCATACCAAACCTGCAAAAAGTCATCTAGCAGCCATCCCACCTGGCATAGACACCCCAGCCACATACTGCCAGTAAAATACCAGCTGCAGCAAGAGGAGCCCCAAAGTCGCCATTCATTGAGGTGTAGCCTCTGCTTTGGGAAACATAACTGACAAATTGCACAGAACAAACTGATAGCCAGTATTGAGCTGTCAGTTCCATGTAATGAGACTGAACTATCACCCCACAGTTTAAACATTGTGTTTATGGGGCAATAGGATTATATTAACAGTCTGTGTAAAATGATGCTTTGGATGCTGAAGACGTTTATCAGATTCTTTGCCCAATTCTTGAGCAAGCATATTGTATTTATCGTTAGATTTCTGCAGCCTTGATGAAAATAGCAGATGAGCACATTTAGTCTGTTGTGCAGGGGATGGATATTATCGAACTGTCTTAACTCTTGCACCTCATCAACACACTTTGATTTTTTTTTTTCACAGTTTCAGATCTATCAGAGTTTGATACATTCACACAGTCCAACACCCTCATTAGTGGTTCACAGCATCGGGGATAAAGCTAAAATGAACATTGCTAGTGAATCCATGATTAATGTAGTCCATTCATTAAAAGCCAGCAGAGCCAAGAATCAGTAATGATTCTGCCGGAAAGGCTGGAAACTCTTCAAACCCAACATTAGCCTTGGACAGAGAAACGGATTTAAGGGGTGTGATGCGAGGAAGATGATGGGATCTTTTGCTGGTTGGCTGGAGAGCCAAGAAAGGCCCTGTATTGCCCTCTTTGTGGGGGGTGGGGGCTATGTGTTATGTTGGCCATCAAATTAAGTATAACTCTGCTGCTTGACTGGCCAGTGGCCAATTAGCTAGCCTTCTCTTTGATTCATAAAGTCCCCCTGTCCCTTGAACAGCAGCCCCACCACAGAGGCAGTGGCTATTCTGGCGCAGCACCCAGCTAAGGACTGATTGTATCTGGATCCCAGGCCAGGAGCAAGTGACGACTGGAGGGAGCATGTGGCAGGTGGACATCAACAAAAGAGAAATTGGGGGAGGGGGTGGATTTCACCCAGCCCCCTCCTGTATTAATCATTACCAATTTACAACATCCATGTTACTTTTCCCTACAGCATCTGAAGGTGTTTCAATACAGTTCAGGTCAATCAAAACGCACATCAAGGTCTGGGAATCACATCTACATAGTCAAGATGGAAAGCAGGTAGTTGTGAAATTAGCGTTGCTTAGACTGCATTTGGAGTACAGCGTGCGGTTCTGGTCTCCATGTTATTTTGAAGCACTGGAAATGGTGCAAAAATGATTACACAAATGAGGCTGAGGTTCCCATTCATAAAAGGAATTGATGGGGAACGTAAGACTCTTAAACAAAGGGTCTCACTATCCTCTGAGGTCCTTACTCCATATTTGGGTGTGAACAATACAAAGCAAGCGATGGATAAAGTCTTCACTTTGTATGGTAACCCTTGATTGACTCCCTAACTGATAGCATATACTCAACACTAGTTCCTTGGTAAGAGCTCATTACTGGGAAGTTAGCTGGACAGCACGCATCCTTCATGTTATTAGAAGCTGGGTGTAGTTATCATAATATTGAAAGGTTCAACCGATGTTTATTGTAGCTGACAAATAGACTACAACAAAAACGTTGATTCGCATATTTTCACTAGAGTGTCATACTTCATGTGATCCATGACACGATGCAGTCTGAATCCTTTATATCCTCAGGTCACATGCTATGATATGGTGATGATTTCAGAAGCATGTCTTCATTTGAAGGTGTGCTGGCAAACTGACCATGAGACGTAGCACAACGGCCGTTGCCTGGGTCAGTTGAACACAAGGTGTCTGATAATTAGCCACTGCCTCAATGACACAACTTAAATGGCTGTGTGTGCCTTTTAGAGTTGTCTTTATTACAACAAGTTCTATATGAGTCTTGGTGATGAAGTCTTCAGACGGAATTATCTTTGTGCCCCATGTTACCAACTGGTTCAGGGCTCAGGACGTGGATCTACCTCACAATCACACGTACTTTAACACCAGTATTAATACAAGACATGTTAGAAAAACACAAAGAAAGGTCTTGCCTCATGACAGAAATAACAAAGATATCAAAATGCCTTCTAGGGTAGATGTAGAGAGGATGTTCCCATGTTGGGGCCATAATAAAATTGTTATGAATAAATCCTATAAGGAACTCAGAAGAAACTCCTCAACACAGGGAGTGGTAAGAAAGTGAATCTCAGTGCCTCAGGCTGTGCTCGAGATTAACAGGTGCATTTACAAAGAAGCCAATTGAAAACCTGAGTGAGAAGGTAATTAAAAGCTACCTGGAGAAGTTAGATTTAATGAAATCGGTATCTGGAGGCTTGAGTACAACAGAACAGCTTGAAAGATGAATTGAACTGAATGGCCTCCCTCTTTCCTATAAATGTTGTGTAATTCT